GATTATGTTTCCAGAGGGATGAAGTCAGTAATGGCAGTTGGCTGGCATGACGGCAGGAAGCTGAGATCACATCTTCAACCACGAACACAGCAGAGAGCAAACTATAAACTCTGATAGCCTACCCACAGTGATGCACTTCCTCTAGAAGGGTTCTACACCTTTAAAAGTTCTAAAACCTTTCCTGACCCAAACCCAGAAATAAGGCTCCCAAATAGCAAGGTGGGGAGGTATCAAGTAGCAGAACTGTGAATGAGAAATAAAGAAAAAAAAAGCAAAAGCTAGAACCAGGAGGTCTTGCATAAGCTGCTGGCTTATGCCAAGTGCACTGGCTGGTTTTGTGTGTCAACTTGACACAACTTGGAGTTATCACAGAGAAAGGAGCTTCCCTTGAGGAACTGCCTCCATGAGATTCAGCTGTAAGGCATTTTCTCAATTAGTCATCAAGGGTGGGAGGGCCCATTGTGGAAGGTGCCATCTCTGGGCTGGTGGTCCTGGGTCCTGGGTAAGAAAGCAAGTTGAGTAAGCCAGGGCAAGCAATCTGGTAAGCATCACCCCTCCATGGCCTCTGCATCAACTCCTGCCTCCAAGTTCCTGCCCTGTGTGAGTTCCTGTCCTGACTTCCTTTAGTGATGAACAACAATGTGGAAGTGTAAGCTGAATAAACCCTTTCCTGCTCAACTTGCTTCTTGGCCATGATGTTTAGCGCAGGAATACAAACCCTAAGACACCAAGTACTAAGAAGGACAGCATCAGCCAGGTGATGATGGTACACTCCCAGCACTCAGGAGGTAGAGGAAGGCAGATGTGTGAGTTTGAGGCCAGCCTGGGCTACACAAAGAAACCCTGTCTCAACAAAACAAAAGAAAGTACAGCATCATATATACTATTTGCAGGAAGACGGTGGCCAAGGTCAGCAAAAAGCTAAATCAGACAAAGAGAACATAGGACACCTCAGACACAGCTGCTTAAGGACTGACAATCACAAACCAGGGGAAAGAGTCTGGCCCCCAGAAACCACACTTGATACTTAAGGTGATCTGAATAAAAATGGTCCCCATAGACCCACAGGGAATGGCACTACTAGGTATGTAGCCTTGTTGGAGTAAGTGTGGCTTTGTTGGAGTTCACTAAGGTCAATAAGGGGTGGGCTTTGAGGTCTCAGAAGCTCTAGCCTGGTCCGTGTGGCTGTCACTTCTTGCTGCCTTTGGATTCAGATGTTGAACTCTCAGCTCCTTCTCCAGCACCATGTCTGCCTGCTACCATGCTTCCCACCATGATTATAATAGATAAAAACCTCTGTAGCAAGTGCCTTGACCTGTGAAACATCTCACAGTCCCCTCTTGGCCTTTTTAACAGTGTGGGACACGGCTCTGTGCTCAGATATCAGTCCAGCACTTTAAAACAAAATCTATGCGCAAAGAACCCAATGGACCATTAAAGAAGAGAGGAAGTACATCCATCATTCAAGTTCTAGGCAGCTGCTGCGTAGCTTGGCTCACAGACGGTCCTGAGACAGAACCAATCATGAACAAAATGAGGTCTCTGTCTTCAAGGAGCTGAGCCTAGTGGGAAGAAGAGCAAAGCAAGTCGTCAGTTAAGAGAAAAATGTGTTACGTGCTACATAGCAGTCAATGACTTGGAGAACAGAGAAAGAGAATGTCTTACAGATGTAACTCTGATGGTAGCAGGCCTCTCAATATCTAGAAGTGAGTCTAAACCCCCACAGTCCTTGGCCCACTAAAGTCCAAATGCTTCTGAGTCCCAGAGAGCTTAGTGTCTCCCTTCTCCACAGCCCTGGACTCCCACATCCCTCAGCATTTACCCGGGAAACACAGGTTCTCTCAGAAGCTCAGCCTCTTCTTGGACACGAGACTGTACCTTTAGGACACGAGTTAAGATTGGGCAGAGACAGACAGAATGGTAGCTTTAAAAATACTAGTAAACATTATCTATTGAATCTTATCTTCTTAGCTCCGAAAAAAAAAAAAAAAAAAAAAAACACCTATTTTAAAAAGAAAACTCTTGTATCAGATAAACATTTTCAAAAAAGTAGCAAAACACAAAATCACCATGCAGAGGCTGAGGAATTTAACTTAGTTGGTAGCCTATTTCCATAGCATGTACAAAGCCCTGGGTTCAATCCCTAGCGCAATATAAACTCGGTTAGTAGTTTGCACCTGTAATTCTAACACTTGGGAGATGGAGGGGAAAAAAAATCAGATATTCAAAGCCATCCTCAGCTACATAGCAAGTAGAGGCCAGACTGGACATGAGACAACTGTCAAAAAAAAAAAATCATAAGCAAAAACCAGCATCAAGTTCTGGAATAATGAACTCATCAAGAAAGAAATCAAGGGCAGTGTAGCCCCTGAGTGGCCATCACAGGAGCTGTCAAAGCCACAGTGCCTCTTTCCCACTCCAGCCTGCAGCCACCACAAGGCACCACCTATGGGGCTGTCAAAACAGCTGCACCCCCTTTCCCCACCTCAGGAGCTGTTCATGGTGGCAGAACCTCCTCTCCAACCTCCCCAAGTGATTCCCCCTCGAACCACCCTGAAGTGAAGGTGTCGCAGCCAAGGCCTCTTGCAGCCTGGAGGGTCTCCCCATCCTAACCCAGGAACCTAATGAAGGAAAAAGGGGTGAAAAAAGCCACAATCCCTGAGCTCCCCAAGCTCAGGACTTGAAATCCCATCAATCCTCACTCTGGAAATCTCTGCCCTTCAAAGCTCTGCCCTTTGTTCAGTTTGCCTCTGTGCCCTCTGGGGGAGCAGACTGCCAACCCTGGGTTCATCCCACCACACTCTGAACCCTCCCAATACATCTCTTTTATGAGATTTATTACCTGGTGTGACCTTCTCATCAGAAGAAGCCAAGAAACAATGAGAAGAGAAGAGAGGAG